GGGGGGGGGTTCCTTCTATTCTGTTTTCACAACTGCATAATCATGCTTACCTGCCTCTTCATTAAAAAATCTTTGCACACATAAAAAAAGTAATGATGACACTGGCAATATAACGCAATTTCAGTTTGTGGCCATCTATTTGCTGTGATTTTTCTAACACCGCTTTATGTTTTTTCCTACAGGTGGCGATGGTTCCGCGATAGGAGGGAACAAACGTACTAGGCTAGCTATTGGAACTCAACTCATGTATAATATTTTCTTGATGGTAAATGGCCGAGGGGTTGGGTCAGTTCTTCATAGCACTCTGGTAGTGGCCAATAATTAATCTTCTGTAGATAATCAGTATGAGGAAAGTACAAGATGGTGAAGTGGAAAGCATGTGTAGTTTATCCAGTATTGGTAGAAGAATGCTTTGCATTTTGTAGCATATTTAGTTAGAGAATTCAGAAGAGAAGAGACTTCATGTCTATGGTGGGAAATCCAGTCAGCTATATATATGACCATATCAGCACATGTACTGTTGGTGTGACTTCTATTTGCCATGTTTTGGTCATGCCCACCTTCTGATATGATATCAGTAGACCCATAGACTGCAGCTAAATCTAAGACAGGCTCTCCATCTTTAACACTCGTGGCATGGACCGTCTTATTTTGAATTGATTTGAAAGCACTTTAGATAGTGGATACAGCTCAGCGATATTTCAGAAAGAACTAAGTTCTAACTCAAGGGAAAATATAATAATGAGATGACAAACAAATGAGAAAAATCAAACAATTTTATTATCACAAAAAGTGCAGTGATCATCTACAATCAGTATTGGTTACAACAGCATATATTCCCATTAACCTTTCTCCACTATGGTAGCCAAAGTGTATTACATTTCTTTTAGTACATATCTAGTTGGTGAGTTTGAAAGAGAAGTGATGTCATGTCTATGGAGTAAAATCCACAGAGAGTCAGCTATATGACTATATCAGCACATGTACTGTTGGTCTGACTTCTATAGTTGTCATGTTTTGGCCTGTCTACCTTGTGATATGATTACCCCTAAACTGAGGCTCTAAACCTAAGACAGGCTCTCCAACTTCAGAACCCATGGAGCATGGTATTTTTGATGTGGTTGTCTGGTAAGGAAACACTTTACAGCTCAGCAATAGTTCAGAAGGCGCTTCTAGTTCAAGGCAGAATAATGTAACGATAAGACAAACAACTGATAAGAACTAAATAACAGTATCACAAGCAATGTGCAGTGACCATGTATGATTAGCATTGGTCAGAATAGAATATATTCTCATCGACCTTTTTCACAGAAAACTTGATGCCCGATAGACGGCCCAGCAACTTCCCCGATAAGAATAATACTAGACGGAATCTCAAAAGGTGCCAAGTGATTACTGGATTGCAGGTGTTCTGAGGTTTGGGACAATCTGTCTCTAGGAAGCAAAGCATCTAGCGTCCCGTGTCAGCTATGACTGTCTAACAAGATGCTGATTCAATGCAAATTCTAGAACATAACACAAGCAACTACAACAACAAAGACAGCTTGAAATGGACTCACCTTGCAACTCATGT